TAATCCCTCATTTTTAATTTAGATATTTCTTCTCTATATTCTAAAAGTAGTTATAACTTTTCTGGATTGTGCCATTTCTAGCTTAATGTATGTTACATGGCTTGTGTAACGCTGACGAAAAAACTAATTTGGAAATTGACTTAGATTTTGAGAACTGAAACTTTTCTAACCTAAACTAAACCCTTCTCTTTGTGAGCATCCATACTGGATGATTGTGAACTTTTTTTTTCACTCTCTGTGCCACTTGGATGCTATTTCATTCTGCTCTCTTTCTATTGCAGCAGTATGGGGGGGGGGAAATGTAAATTTTCTGGAAATAGGCATGATTATAGAGTGCCAAGTGAATCATGGCCACAAATGTCAATTGAAATAAAAGTGAATATTTAGTCTTACTCAGCTGCCAAATTTCCTAGTCATTATAGGAATTTAGGCTAAAATTTTAGCATTCTATGCAATCAAAATTCTTTCCCTTAAATATGGATCTACATTCTATGCTAATTACGAGTAATGCTACATCTTTTCATTACATACATTCATTGTCTGTATGTATGAAAATTTATGTATATAATTCTAAGCTGTGCAGCCTAAGCACAGTAATTTTTCAGTTAAATGTTTCTTTTTGTACTTTTTGTGTATATATTTATTTAAGTATAATTAATTATATATATATAATTTATTTAAAGATATTTTTAATTGTGTATATAATTTATATATTATAATCTTTTCTTTAAATTTCATTGATTTGTTTTAAAATTAGGGTATTATTTGTTTAATATTTTTAGTTTAAACCTTGATTAAATTTTTTTATGCATTTATTGGATTTTATGTAATTTATTAATTATGGATTTTAGATTTTGGCCTATGTAAAATTGGTTGTAAATTTCTTACCGTATGTCTTAAATGATATTTTCCAGCAGCTTAATGCACAAAAATACTAGATATGATTATATTAGATTTAAACAAATGTATTGTAAATAAATATATATGCAATATTTAAAAAAAAATTCAATTAACTGTTTCTCATTTTCTTTTCATACTTTTTGTTATGTGTCTATATTTATAGATATCTCTTCTGAAACTTTTTTCGTTTTCTTGGCATTAAAAAGAAAACTTGTTTAGCATCACATAATCGGGGACCACCTAATTTTTGAGTGTTGTTTAAATGAAAATTTGATATAAAGTGTATTTGTCTTGCTCTTTAATTTGTATTTGCTTTTGAATGCAGGATTTACATAAGTTATTTGACCCCCCCCCCTTTTTTTTGAGTTGCCAATTTGGCACAATGTCATTTATTCTTCATTTTTTTCTTTTTTCCAAGTATATCGAGTGTATGCAGGGAAAATTCTGGAAACATTCGAGATTTGATTTTTCAGTTTTAAATGAAATTTAATGCCTTGAATGAAAATTTAATTGAATCTTTTTTCGGTGTTTGATCTGAAATGAACCAGAACAAAACATATATTTGAAGCATATTAATCGACTTTTATGAAACTTTAATTCATTTTTCCCTGAAGAGTTCTGAATTAGAATTTCAATAAAAGGAGATTAATTTATATATTTTATAATTTTGTATATTTATTCCTTACTGCTTTTTATTTTTTGAGTTTATTCTACTGATGAATTCTGATTTTATTTCTCGTATGTTTAAAATTCAGTGTTAAACCTCTAATCCACGGTTGCAACGTTTAATATTGTTGAGGAATTGCTTTGATTCCAATTTAATTTTAACTTTAGATACTTTAAGTTTATATGTGTGTGTGAAATAATTTTGGTGCATAGTCGTGATGGCAGAATGGCAAGACGAGACAAAGATGACGAAACTGGATTCCAACAAATCACCAATCTTTATTTTCACCCATATCCAGTTAGTTTGGCAGACACGTATTCAATCATAATTAAATATGATAACTTTCTATGTACATTGGTTTTTTTTGAAAGAAATGACGTAGGCATTTAAGAAACGAAGCAGCTCGGAGATGTTAGCATGGTAGAAGCTAGCAAAAGAATGACATAATTAATTCACCAGTGGTATTTATACTCTGATGTATAAGTACAGCTAATCTACAGTTGGTTAATTTTAGTTTTAGTTACCCTTATAAAGTAGCATTATATAACATGGAAGGATCTCAAATTTAAGAGAATGGATGAATTTAGGAGGAGAACACCATATATACACTGGTGTGCAAAAATTAAGGACGAGACGGTTTTTTCAATATAACTTTGTACAAAAGCTTTCCAAATCAACACATTTAATACCATAAGATCCCCAATACGTAAGGACATGAGTAATGTAAGCAACACTTACTAAAAGAGAAATCAGAGGGATAAAAAGAAGCTTTATTGAAAAAGTAGCATGGAGCGCAATGCGACTGAAGGCCGAAACATCCCTGTGATGGGTGTCCAGCAAGAAACATCCGGTCTTTAATAGGGGATATGATCTCCCCTGACTGCTAGGCAGGTTTCACAGCGTCTGCCCATGCTGAGAATGAGAGTGTCAATGAGTTGTTGAGGCATTGCTGCCCATTCGTCTTGCAGCGCCAATCAAGGCTCCGTAATCGTTAGTGGTGGTAAGGTACGAGCTGCCAAGCGTCTGCCTAGAAAATCCCACACATGCACGATGGGATTAAGATCCGGAGATTGTGCCGGCCAATCCATACGTTCAATATCCTCACTCTCTAAGAGCTGTTCGGCAGCTACTGCGCGATGACATGGTGGTGCATTGTCGTCCATGAAAAGGAACTGTGGTCCCATAGCACCTCTAAAAGGACGCACATATGGAAGAAGAATCTCGTTACAATAACGGGTCCCATTAACTGAACCTACATCAAAGATATGAAGGTCTGTACGACTACCAAGCATGATGCCTCCCCAAACGAGAACACCGCCACCTCCATACCTGTCCCTTTCAATGATGTTCGAGGGACGATTGCGGCTTCCCCGCTCTCTCCAGATGAGTATACAATGAGAATCGCTACTCAGACTGAATCTGCTCTCATCTGTAAAGAGTACTCGTCCCCATTCATTGTTCTCCAATTCTGGTGTTCCAGGCACCACAGAGAACGCCTTCTCTGATGGGCAGGCGTTAGAGGTACACACCATACAGGGCATCGTGCAAACAGACCACCACCATGCAGTCTTCTGGCCACGGTAAAACGCGATATCGGTCGTCCAGTTGCCTGTGTCGTGTGTCTAGCGATTTCTCCCGCTGTCTGCCGCCTGTTTCTTCTGGCCTGTAAGGCAATATACTGGTCATCTGCGGGTGTGGTTCCTCTTGGACGACCACTACTAAACCCCCAGATAGCTGTTCCTGTAGTTTGAAATTGACTTAACGATGCTGTGAGCAATTCCGAACTCTGCAGCCACACTTGTCACTCTGCGGCCTTCCTCCAACTTCCCAATGATTCGACCTCGGGTAAAAGCATCCAGATGTCGTCTAAGAGATTGATTATTCGCCATTTCTTGCTGAGGCAGCAACTAAGTGTGATTTTAACTGCTATACGGTGTGGAATCTCTTTGCCAGAAATACTGATCTTACACCGACAACATGCTTTATACTACTCAGACACTCCCCCATTATGTCTACCTGCATATCTGCGCATGTGCTACTGTACATCACCTTACTTAATCTCCTGATTGGTCTTTCTGTCCGCTCTGCCTCTTCGTTCAGCTGATATGCTAATTTTTCGACTTCGTCCTTAATTTTTGCACACCAGTGTATATATCTGAAAGTAGAAAGTTACTGAAGGGTTGCTGCTTTATGGGTCTTTATTTTTTTTGTTAGAAATGGTATTATTATACAATAAGCACTACTTAATTTTTTCCAGCACAGTGTGTTTAGTCTGGGCATACTCAAAAAAATTCTCTCTGTACACACAGAAAAATTGAACGAAAAAGGCTTATAGGTTACTCTTAACCTTCATTATTTCTACTAGATGGCAGCACAACACAAACCAGATCATATATTTAGCTATGTTTAAAGACCCTCATTTTTCAAAGAAATCTTCCAGATTGTGTCCAGGGAGAGGTACATTTTTATCTCCAGTGCACAAGACTGTGTATTGGAAATTCTAAAGATATGCTCATTTAAAAATTATTTTGCAATATTTCTGTTGAATTGAATTTTATGGTTTATGTGCAAAGAACATGATATTTAATAAGTAAAGGTAACACACAAAACATTAAAAAAAGTTTATGTAAGCAAATGATTGGGTGTAACTGAAAGCTTTCATTTTTTTTTTTTTTAAACAGAATTTGTTTAAACCACAGTTGCCGATATTGTAGAGTATGGCTTGAAGTGAAGATCCTTGGTGATATTTATGTATACAATTGTAACTGTATCTGGCTCTTAGGTGTAATTTTAACCATATATGTTTTTCAGTAATTTCGAGAAGTATTAGAGATTTCTTGACAGGTGGGGGAAAACTATATAAGATTAAATAGAGGATCAGTTTCTGAGCTGTTGTTAGTTCAGAGCTAAATTTGAAGTATTGCGATATCTGAGAGAGTTTTGCCATTTAGATGTGCTTTCCATTGTGTTGTGTTTTAATGTTCTTAGTTAGTTTGAAATCTAGCTACTGATTGCACTGTGTGATACTGTGAAGAGCATATGACTATTTTTGTGGAAAGTTCCAGAGCTGTGAAGTGTTCCTTTTGGTAAAATAAATTTTATTAAGTTATCATTGGTTCTGTATGCATTCAATGTGTTATGTAACTGTACACATGCAACGATATTTTAAATTAACCAAATTGTTGATCATTTTATTCGAAATATTTTCGTTACAGACAAGCAGAACTTTGGTAGAACAATAGCAATATCTGAATGATAACATTAAATGGCATATACTGTAGTACTTGTGCTCTGAATCTCTGTTGAGTAATTTTAAGTGTGTTAAAAATTGTTTGATAACTGTTTTAAGGCTGCCCTTTCTTTTTCTTCTCTCTCTCTCTTAAAAAAATTGTTTTTTAACTACATAAAGTATTCACTGTTATCCTCTTTTCAGCCATCAGCTTCTGAAGATGAAGTGGAGCGTAAATTGCGGGAACGAGCTTTGATGTCAATGTCCAAAGCTCAGACTGCTGCAAGAGAGAGTGATAATGTGGATAAAGATGGACAGAACTCATCCTAAAAACAACTTTTCATGTTTATGCACCTCCAATCAATGCAAAAGTTTTAAAGCATTTCCTTATTGTTGCCTAAAAGTGTTATTTGTTTCACAGCATCCTTTTCAAAATAATAATCAGGTTTATTGGTTTTCTAAGCTTTTTAGTTTCTTTGAAAAGGCCTGAAGCCTTTATTCAATAAATTATGCCAGTATAAATTCAAATCAACCACCATCATTTTTATATACTATGAAAATATATTTTTATCATAAACTCATTCAGAGCATGCAGTTGTAAATTTTCAGTATTTTATCAAGGATTCAAAATATTTTTTAAAATTTTTATTATGAATTATTAAAAAAAGCTGGGAGCTAAAAATGTATCATTTAATTATCTAAAATTAGTATTTTGTGTTCTAAATAGCTTATATGAGATTTAGAACTGTGTAAATATATTTTAATGTAGGTAAAATTTTGTTGAATCTCTAAATAGAAGAGCTCTTGTTACTTAAACTCTCATTACTTAAATTGCATATTTTAGATGAAATCTTGTTACTTGTGTTGATCAGAGGTGCATTCTTTGTATGATGTGTGGAATTCTTTTAATGCAGTATAAGAGTGGGAAAAAAAATCCCCTGCTTGTGAGTCAGAACATAATTTTGTGCTCTGTGATCTTATGTTAAGTTCAAAACAATAAATTTGTAATTACAATTGTTGTTATATTGATATTATTTTAATGAAACATTTGCATAAAACTGTAATGCAAAATTTAAAAAACTTTTCAATTTCATCTTCTCGGATCTTATAAATAAAAGTTGGTGTTGAGCTTGGCAAAGTCATGTAAAAACCTCTGGTATACCAGAGTAAACTACTGTAAACCCACCAGAGGTATATGATCAATGACAGGTGCATTTCCTGTACTATCCCTGTGTTACAAAATAAATTGAATTTTAACTTCATTGCAGGGGTAACAAGAGTTGATTAGAAGAATGGAGAAAGGTAAGCAAGCATTCATACTATAGCAATCAACATTACAACGACTATATAACGCAAAGCCTAAAGTTGAGCCTAAAGTTGGCAGTTTGCCCCAAAACATAGATTACCTCATTTAACTCTCTGAGAGCGAACGCAAGCTAATAAAAAAAAAAAAAAAAGAAGAAGAAATCACATTAAGCACTGCATCTCAGGGACATTCTGAGGTATAGAACAACAACGCCCTGATTATTTCTGCACATTAGAAACACAGCAAAGGGATGACTAAAATGTAATCTTCCTGACATCAAAAGGATTAAAACTGAGTTTCTGTAAAAATAGACCAAAATAGCTAATTAAAGCAAAATTATGAGAAATCATTTTGCCCTTTCTCGTACCTGAAAATGTAAATAGATGTTTCGAATGATTTTAGTAGAAAAATTTATACTTGGAATTGGTATTAATTAGTACAGCAAATGTTTATTTTAATGTACTTAAAATGTACTGCTTAATTTCATTTTAATGTGCTGCCTAATGTATAATAAGCTTATTTACATCCTCATTGAAAAGACAGATAATTTTTTAAAAAACCCAGTGAAAAGGTTTTTCTTTTTCAGAGATTTTTCTCTGACCTCAACACACTTGCTTCTCAAGGTAGTATTTTGATTTTATAAATTATTTTGTGTGGTTTAAATTTAATGTAAATATACTTTGCTATAATTAAAGATAGAAATCGTGTAAAAGTTTTATCATGTAAAAGTATTAAAATTGAGAAACATTCTGGTAAAAATGTCGGACTAAAATAGCTAATTTAAACAAAGTTATAAAAAATCTTTTTGTCCTGCCCCCCACCAACAGTGCATAGTGATTTTTTCATTTCAAATATTTTCCCATAAAATTTATACCTGAAATTAGTGTTAATTAGTGTAACAAATTTTATTTTTATGTACTTAATATAGTAATCTTAATTATATCCTCACCAAAAACACAGTGTTTTTTTTGGTGGTGGGGGGAATGGTTGAAGAATAAGGTGTGAAAAAGTTTTTAAAAAATTCAGCTAAAGATCTATAGCTGTGTAAGTATTAAAATATATTTAGGAATTTACTGCTTTCAGTTCTTTTGATTTCTTTGTTATTGTGTTCAATAAGTATATGCATTTTATGGCTTCAAAATAATTTGTCTGTCCAAACAGCAAAGTGAGTCTAACAATGGCATTCAGTGGAAATAACCCCTAGCTGTAAATCTAAAATTGTTCAGCATAATTCCAAGAGTAGAAAACATCGAAGATCCTGCTGTGCTTAACATTTCATTGGTGTCGAGTTCTTTACTTCATACAAAGAAGTGTAATCACGAAAAATTTCAGGTATCATATTTCAACAAAAATTTCCATTTTGATCGCTATCAAATGCAATTTAACCCTTTGATAAGCAGTGGTCGCACCTTGAAACCACCAATTTTCGAACTTTCTGAACTTTTTGAGCGAAAATCAATTGATTAATTGATTACTGATCTTTTACTTCTAAGTAACACAAAATGACTGCAGAATCATATATGTTTTAGGTCTTAGTACTTTAAATCGGATACCCTTTTTAAATTTGTTTACAGTGAGACAAAATAACTTCCTTTTATTAATATAAACAACTTTAAATTTCAAAAGTTATTTATCGCACATCATGATTTCTATCATAAACAATAAAAAATAGCAATAATTAAACTGCATATATAAAAAACCTATCTATATTTGTGGCATTTGCTTTGTAGTTTCAGGGCACGACCACTGAGCCACTAGAGTATAGTGTCACAATCCTCTAGGTCTAGAGGCTCGGTGGTCCCGCCTTGAAACCACTGCTCTTCACAATGGCATTTGCTGCTTTTCAAATAGGAATGTTTATTTTTACCTTGATATAGATAAGGGGCTTTGAAACCACAGAGTTATTTTATTACTAAACAATACATGCACCTGCTCGGTGAAAAGTTCTTTTCTAGAGATTTTTCTCTGACCTCAACACACTTGCTTCTCAAGCTAATACTTTGATTTTATAAATTATTTTGTGTGGTTTAAATTTAATGTAAATACTTTGCTATATTTAGAAATAGAAATCGTGTAAAAGTTTTATTTAAATTAAAAATATTTTAGGACGAAATGCGAATAAATATGAATGGGAAGGCTCAGGTACAAGGCACTTCAGCAGGCTCCTAGGCTGGGAAAGCCACATCCTGTGTGTAGCGTCGTGTGAAAAAACATAACTTTCCTAGCATAACTCATAACTAAGAGAAAAATTTCTCGTGATAAGCGATGAAGGTGCCTTACACAAATACAGATCGAAGAGTCAGTTAATCATAATCTGGAGATGTCAAGAAGCAATAAATATGGCAGTACTGTAGGTAGGCATATCTTGATGTTGCATGCTATTGTCACGGCTTCTAGCGCTCAAATGAAGGTAGAATGATTTGAAAAGGTCTACGATGAGCTGGGAGGAGCTACTGGGTCTTGTTGTCAAATGGTAAACCTGGAGGATTGGTCGGAGGCGGGGCTAAATTACAAATCTTACTTAACGAAAATTCAAAATTACAGAACAGTTAAAACTGGTAAAATTTAAAACAAAATACGTGTAGTGAGAAAAGGATCATGTGCTGAGATAATATAGGTTGGCCTAAACATCTATTGTGGGAAAATAATGGATAACAAAAGAATATTTTGGAAAGCATGGTAGAGAAAATAAAATAGGTAGTGCTTGGTATTAAATGTAGATGGCGACACTTATGCGTGTCTTAAAAAAACCTTAAAATAGTATAAAGTGCAATTAAGGATGAGACAATTAATCAAAAACGTGGGGCAATGACTCCCGAATGAAAATACAGCATGGTAAAATTAAAGTGCCAGAGTACTGCTCCAGGTCTTTTTTTTGTTTTCATCATTAGTGTAGTCGTAGTTCATTCTAAGAATGGAACTATTATTGACTTTTTCGATGTTATTGAAAATTTTTTTTGCAATGCAAATGCTGATACTATCAATGCTTAATTCATTATGGATGTCCTCGTTTCTGAAAAACCAAGGGCTGTTGGAAATTCTTCTTAAAGTGATATTCTCTGGCATTGCTGGATTTTAAGCATATTGGTTTTACATACAAAACCCCAGACGGGACAGGCGTAAGTAATAATTGGTCGCAGCATGGATCTGAATACATGAAGTTTGTTTTAGATAGATAGAACGGAGTTTCGGGCAATTAAGGGGTTGAGTAATGCTCTAGTACCCCGAAACTTGTTTAAAACATATGTGATGTGTGGGGTTTAAGTGAGTTTTTGGTCTAATATGACACTTACTAGCGTCACTACCACTCTATCGCCGAGGTATTTTGCTTGCTTGGCCCAGGGAATGCTGACATCGTACAGGGCGAATAGGGCAGGCGAAAGTTACTTTTCGTGTAGATTGTGTATTGTTATAACGCACGACAAAGTGTCTATCGCAAAGATAGGAATTAATGATGTTTATGATGGTAATCTGGGAACCCCATAGTTATTAATTTGTAGGTGAGACCCTGTAACCATACACAGTCAAAGGCTTTCGAAATATCGAGGAAGAGAGCTCCTGTGATGAGTTTTTTCTTGAGTTCATCTGCTATCATTTCTGTGACTCGATAGTGTATGTGGTGCATGGTGGAATGTTTACTCCTGAAACCATACTGCTGAGGGATGAGGATGTTGTCTTTTAAGAAGTCTTGTATTCTCTTCAGTATGACAGCTTCAACTATTTTACTTGCGGTCGATAATAAACTTATCGGCTTGTACGATGCCATTTTCCTGTTTGAGTGGCAACCCTGATAAAAGTGCCTTTGGATTAATTTGCCCTTATCTCTGGTCTAAATGAGAATATCGACACCATTCTTAGACGATAAAGGTAGGCTTTTAGATTATCTTTATTTTAGTGTATCATTTGTTCTGCTAGCTTAGTTAGTGACTGAGCACCGTAAGTTTAAATTGCATTTTTCCTGTGTGACCTTATTCTTTCCCCGGCTTCACCACCCAGCTCGTTTTTGTGACAGTGGTGTAAGGTCGGTCCAGCAGGACAGGTCGCTCTCTGAACTTGTCGGACAACTCCTTGTCAATCTCTTCGAGCGCATGCGCGCACAATAGAGTGCGGTTGACAGCTTTTGCACGTGCTTTTGTTTACATTTTGAACTTGGTTGTACGGTACTTAGCCAGCCTTTTGTATACGCATTATTTAACCCTGTTCTAGTTTTTCACGGTGCACTTAACTTTTATTCTATTATATTTACTTTTTTATATTTTATCATTATTATTATTTTTATACTTATTTAATTTCATTTTCCTGTCATTTTCGTTTATGCTTATTTACTGATAGCCATCTATTGTACTTTGTTTCCATACACAGTCAAAGGCTTTAGAAATATCGAGGAAGAGAGTTTTAAGTTGTTTCCATACCTTATTATTTTCTTTTAGGCTTTATTTCTGTATATGGAATTATTCTGTGTATTGTATGCATTGTATGAGTAATAGGTTCTGTTGCTGGTTTCTTCTCAGCATTCAGTTCCATACATTTGGCATTTGTGACGGAATTTAATAATAGTTTTCTGTAATCTCCAATCACTTCTCATTTACTTGTCACCTTGTACTCGTGCACGCTAACTGTTGGAAGCGCTTTCAGTGTACGCACTTATATTTAATTGTACTGCCTTAGATTAAGTAACTGTTCGCTTTTTATTGTAATTCTGCATATTAACTC